GAGCGCCTTCATTCACATGCTCCGACGCTGACTGCACGTGGTGAATTACATTTTAATGAGCTTCTAATTTTAGTGTGCGCGCCAGTAATAATAATAGACTTGATGAATATTTATGTTCCTCGTTTGAAGTTCAGAGACATGAGGAAGAGGAGGGAATAGTGCATACATCCAACTGCTTCACGCAGAAATGGTGTCAGACACACCCGCTTTAGCCTTTCTAAGATAGAACTACATGTGTTAAAAACATTTAAACAGATACAAAGTGACCTCACTTAAACAACATTTCATTTTCGGCAACAAAATAAATCACGTCTGCAAAATATTACATTTATATGATCTTCAAAATGCGTATGCTAAATCTTTCTCTGGCGGGTTTTCCAGGATAAATTACAGCAGCACACATTCCAGAGAGAGTGCAGAAATTGTCACATTTCTGACAAACACGATGACCGGTAAAAACGCGATGCAGTCGCCGCTTCATGCTCTCTCAGCTTACCCATGGTGCCGTTGAAGGGACTCACTGTGCCAAAAAATCGCCGTTTTCTAGTCCTTAAAATGTAGCGACGACTGTCCGCATCTCCTGGAAAAAATGAATAAGCAGCCGACCTTCAGCACCGCAGACAGCTCCCGTCCTCACAACAGGCTGCCTGCCTGCCTGCCGGACAGCGACTGCTGGAAACACCGTGAAGGTTACACCGGGGACTCAACGGACAATATCCGATCCGACAAAACCAAGGCGGTCTCTGTCTTCGTCTCTCAACGGAGAAATATCAGTATCCACAGACGTCAATTCAATTGAATGAATAATGGATTTCAATCTACAATCGTTACACTGGATCCATCCAACCGTGCAAAACAATCCTCAATGTCAGTAAGAAGGAGCCGAGCAGTAACGCGTCAAATCACGCTGTTTCCCAGCACCACTGCACGCGTTCCACTGTGCACCCTGAGTTGACGAGAGCTCATTACATATGCGGCGCGTCCAGCTCCACAGCCCGAAACAGAGGAGCAGCGCGGCTACGCAGACGGCTGGCTGGCTGCACTGCTTTACGTTGAGCGCTAACAGTCACACTAAGCCATTTTCGACCCAGCCTGTGCATCGAGTGCCCACATTCAAGCTTCATTAGAAACACAACCCAGCTGCTGACATCGCCACAGTTAAGCCTGGTTCTCTTTATGTTGTCAGACAACTGCAGGACTATGGAGCAATGAGGTCACACCATGTGAAGAAAGCTGCGATCACGTGCTTTAGGAATACTTTTCTCGCATATGTGGGTAAAAAAACTGTAAGATAATTTCTAATTTTAAATTGCTTAGTACCAGGGAATTATTGAGCCATACAATGACCATATCAATTAGAAATGTATTAGAATTGGGAGTAGTGGGTATTGCCAAAACAAAACAAGCTCCCAAATTAGCTATCTGACAGGTAGAAGTATTTTCAAGTGAGCTTATGCCCATCATCTTTCCTACCTGCAGCATAGGTAGGGTAAAGCTAAATATGTTACCCTTTAAAAGTCCTTGTGAAGCCAATTCGGAAAATGCAAACAAAGAAAACTAAGATACAAATGCACATCCTTTTGTTTTCAAACTCCGCAGCATATATACAGTATACCAAAACAAATCATTTCAACAGAGATTTCCGATCAAATTATAACACATTTAATAATATTGATTGACAGTCATTGAAAGAAACATACTCTAAAATTAAATTCAGTTATCTTTATGTTGGTCATTTCGGAGAGCCCTAACCCCTAACCAATAATATAATATCAACTAATCTCCCTGTTATCCTTCACAAATATATGTTTTATTGGCTATTCACTAAAATGCTGTTTTACACCGAACAAGAACCCTATAAAGAGCTGTAGTACTTTGCATTGTTTAGTAGAAACGTTAAGGGGCCAAAAAGCACATGTAATGTCTTCCAGAGTCACACGTGACTTTCTCCCAAGAGACAGTTGACTCCTCAGGCCCTTTTGAAGCAACATCAGAGGAAATGAGGGGCTCCACTGAGGAACTCTAAAGACTTCACAACACTGACACACAGTTTATCTATACCAAAGGGATTTTATATTTGTACCTACCTCCTAAGTGTCACACTTTGGTTTTTCAAGTATCGACTGTAGAGGCTGTAAGCCAGTTGGTGCAATGAATGAGCAGTGATTGTTATTACAACAGGTATTCTATCCGCGTTTTTGTATCAATTATTCAGCTTGTTGTGATAAGGCACAGGGAAATCAAATGAGTGGATTCATCTCAACATTACGTTACATTATCGAGCAGAACTGTGATTGATTTTGGTCCGAGCTTTCACTCCTTTAGGGGCAGTTTAACTCTCAGTCCCTCTATCATATTCCAGTGTGCCATAGCTGTGCTACCGGTCGCAGACATAGAGACTAGTAAATATTCAATGGAGTTTCGCAGAACAAGATCTCTCTCGCCACTGTTGTCACCATCTGTGAGAGAGGGAAAGAGTAGACGGATGGAAAAAGGGCAGGTTTCACCACTGCCACCTCTTTCACTGACACACAATATTTCAGACAAGCTGGTTTGGGACACCAGAGTAATCAAAGCTTCTGCCCATCGGCCACTACAGGCATGAACACACAAAACAAATCAGCAACAATCAATATCACAAAAGTCCTAGTCAAGTACTGTGTATCACAAACTCACAATTAAAGCCCTGTGTTTTCTGGTTTGGCTAATATTGTCCAGCTAGCATAAAACGTTTAAAAACCCCTATACACTACTGATATATTGATAATATAATGACAACCAAACAATAAGTACATTTACATCTGGCTTGATAAAATGCACAATGTCTGTGCAATGCCCTAGTTTAGTAATGATAGGGGAAAGCGTTGAATCTGGCATCATGGTGGTGACATTCTTACTCAACACATACACAATATCGAGGTCGGCAAAAAAGATCAAGGTCATATCTTACCGTTAGTCGATAAAATAAAAAGGATTTAGGTCATTTCTTTGTATCATACGATAGGCTGATGATATATATATTGTGACAATATTATTTTATTGTATAGGGCTTTTTGCTTACTATCTATGTCTATTTTGCTCACAGCTGCTGTAACAGTTACATTTAGGGTTAAGGTTCTCTCTTTCTGCACAGAACTGAAAGAGAATCTTTTCATCTGATCTCAGCTAAAAGACAACACGTCTTCACTGCCCCAAGCTGACCCTGTCCACTCCCTATATCAGCTGTCAGCAAGAAGACACCGGACTCTATAAGCAGACACCATACTGTACATATGACTGCATGACTACTGAAGTAAGCCACCTTTTTTAAAGCCCTCGCCACCTCTTCTGCTCATTTGAATGCTAGCTCTCCTTTTCTCTCAAACCATCTAAACCTCTGTATCCTGCTATAAACGCTTACTCTGCTTTCCTGTTGATGACACGTCTATGAATACCAATATGTTGGACTTTCTGAAGCCACATCTGCAAAAGTATTTTAATGATGGTATTGTTGTCCAACACAGAGACAGTGTAGTGACTCTTCTGGACTTTGATGGAATCTTTTTCGCAGTATGATAGTATACAAAAGTATACATCAGCATCCCCGGTCTTCATGGTGAGTAGACGTCCAGGGCCAGGAGCCTGGGGTACAGTACCACCAGGTAAAAAGCTGGCATTGCCTCAGTGGCACCTTCCAGGGCTCCTCTGCCAATGCCCCCACTGTCACTCGCCAGCCTGCTGCCACTGTTATTACTCAACACCATCTGTACAACAAGGTAACCAATCCCCTAGCTATTATTTCCAGCGAACAATGGCAGCCTGTACAACTGGGGTCTTGGCAATGGAGGGAGTAGCAGTGCAGAGGTCTCTCCCAGTGTTCCTGCTGCTCCGCTGGATCCAACCTGCTTCTATGTTCTTCCCTCCAGCGTGGCTTATAACGGTAAAACACTTTTAGTTACCATTTGATAGACAACACCTAGCATGGCGTCAATAAGACAGCTATTGCTAATTGATGTCATACATGGACAAGGACAATAATACGACCCCCCTAATAGGTTCATCCGACTGTGTTTTTGCTACTAACTAAACAAATACAGCATCAAATATATACATGATCCCCAAGGGCATTCAATCAGTCATTATAGTTTCTTTTTCTAAACTAAATTGTTCAATAGAACACACGTAAGACTGCATTATATCATTGAATTGTGAACGTTCCTATTTGGTGTGGGATTTCCTTTACAATCTTTGGTGATTTGTTATCAATCAAAACCTTTGCTACTAATTGTTTTGTTAAAAAAAATCGACTTCCCTCAACTCCTTGTTGGAGAAAGTATTATTAAAACGCAATATAGATCAGCAAAGATAATAATCTAAATGATTGATAAAGTGAAAAGTGATAAATAATTATGATCTCAATAATGATCCAAATAATCGCGAAAATCATTTTGGCCATAATGGACCGACCCAATGTTTGAAGAGAGGTCCAATTTGAATTCCAAAATGATGCTTACATTGGTACTCCGGTATTGAGTTTTGTACTTGCATAAAGGACTACAAAAGGTCAACATCTTTGCAGCAGGTGGCTAAGTCTAAAAAGGCTGGATGCCACAATTTCCAATATTGCAACACCATCGTTTATTTCATTATACTCTCCATGCCTGGTAAACAACCATCTCGTTCAAACAAGCTAGGCTTTCTGTTTCAAACTTAAACATAGAAGACAGGTCTTCAGGGTTACATTTTTCACAAAAGGACATTATATATTACTGTTTTAACAGTCTGAGTAATACTTCCCATGATTTTAATTGCATATTACCCTCTTTTTTTTCATTTAGCTAGTGTTTATTCAGAGTTTATCCCAGCATACAATGGTAGACTCACAGTCAGACACTAATCAGTTGTTTTGTTTCATGTCATTTTTGGCTGTTACATGTGTACATATACATATCACAGCATTTCATGAACAATGTGTGTGTTGAGACACAGTCCCAAGAAACGCAGTAAAAGGATTTGCTAACCACTTTGTCCTCCTGTTGCAATTCCATGAGAGCAGGAATGCAGCAGAAAGAAAGAAATAGGGAGACAGAGGGGGAAGGGGCAGCAAAGATAGGGAGGGAGACATTGTGAGTGGCATTAGTAGGTCCTGGTAGTACTGTCACATAACAGCAGAGGATTGGATGGCATAGCATACAAAACGTTCAAGCTCATGATTCAAATGTAAGCAGTCTAATGCTAAAAGCTTAGTCTGTGGGGAGGATTGTACAGAGGTTAGTTAGGCACTGGAGTGCCACATTATACAATAACAGCCATGAGGGTCCTTTATGGGAAAGGAAAAGGAGGAATAGTTCCCTCCAGTGGTGAAATAGCATAACTATAATTTACAGTAAACATGAATAAGAAATCTGGAGCTGTGAATGAACACATATAGAATAGAATAGATTTAGAATAAAGGCATGTCATGCAGAGAGTCTCTGACTGGAGTAGATGTTGCTAATCTGGAAAACATTAGTTGCCATTAGAGACACCGCTGGCTCTATTCCCAGATTAAGATTCTGCTGCAATGTTTCATAACCTTGGATTTAAAATAGTAACATAGGGAGAAATCTGCCTGAGGGGGGGACATCTGCATGTGTGTGTGTGTGTGTGTGTGTGTGTGGTGTGTGTGTGTGTGTGTGTGTGTGTGTGTGTGTGTGTGTGTGTGTGTGTGTGTGTGTGTGTGTGTGTGTGTGTGTGTGTGTGTGTGTGTGTGTGTGTGTGTCCTTATAAATGGAGTACCGTGCATGCAAGCCAGTGTTACCTTATTTGACCGCAGAGACACTCGTCCTCCGCACCGAGCACAGAATTTTGTTTGGCAATATGAACAGAGGTGGCCACAGCCATCGGCAAACTTGGTTTTGTGGCATATCCCGCAGGTTGGGGCTTCGCTCTTCAGGTCCTGAGCCGGCTTAGTCTCCTCCCCCATCTTCTTAACCTGGTCCTTATACGATTCAAACTGCTGGTGCAACTTCCTGTAAGCCAATGGGAAGGACAAAGGTTAGGGGAGATAGATAAGGTTTGCAACATATAAAACACAATGATGTATATGATTCTGTTCATTTCTTTATTGCTTCTTTGTATAGGGACAGGTATATAGCAAGAGCCAATGCTACATTGTAGGCCTGTATGTCAGAAGAATCTGTCCATACATATCATGATACAAGGATTTATATTCAATATATTGGGATTTATTGTAATGTAAGAAGATAAGAAGTTTTATTAGACGAGTAGGATCTTCATTTCCATTTATCCCAGTAGGTAAACAAATTAGATTTTAACCTGAGTTAGGTAACAATCTTTGTGCACCGGAACTATCCCTCCTTGCAACCAGTCTGATTTAGTCTTAATCATACTTACCTAGACAATAAGCCCTTATACCGACTGACTAACTGATAAAACCTTGGACTTGTTCAGTGTGAGATTTTGAAAGGTAAATCAGACACCATGACCTCAGAATCCTCAAAGCTGAGTGGCTACTTTGATAGTGCACCTCTCCAACAACTGGGTTGGGGGGTGGAAGGGATCAAATTTACTTTGCAAGTTTAAGAACATCATTTAATTCCACTTTCTCAGGTTCCCATGTGTTAAATGAATCATTTGCACCTGTGTTTCTATATCCATCGGGAGGACTGGAAGTTTTCCCGATGGCCAGGCATGTTAAGTGGCCTGGCCGTTTTTTTTGTATGTATTGTGAACGCAACGCTGCGCAAATGTGGGTCTCCCTCACAGAGGGGGACTGTCTGTCTACATGATGTGGCCTGCCCACATGGCCTCTTCCATACCGATCATACATCAAAGCCCTCCACTGGTTTCTGTGTGTCATTCAAGCTCGGGAGGGTGTGTGTATGTGTGTGGGGCGAGAGAGAGAGAGAGAGAGAGAGAGGAGAGAGAGAGAGGAGGAGAGAGAGAGAGGAGAGAGAGAGAGAGGAGAGGAGGAGAGAGAGAGAGAAGAGAGAGAGAGAGAGAGAGAGAGAGAGAGAGAGAGAGAGAGAGAGAGAGAGGCACCGGTTACTTGTATTTTTGTTGTTAGCATCTGGTTAGCTAGCTGCTCTAACAGATATCAGGAGCTGCTTCAACAACAAGGTGGAGGGAGAGTCCTCTGCTGTCAGACTGAAAGAGATAACTATACAGCTCAGGTGAGGTTAAGTGTTTAGATAGTTAACTTAGTCTAAGTTCTCAGTGGGTCTCAAGTGGTTTGGTCACCATTTATGTAAACACATATTTCCATTTGAGGGGGTAGTGATTATTAACAAATGCATGAATAAAAAAAAAAAGTTAAATAGGTGAAAAAAGGTAAGATACACTTTTAAAACTTGTTGAGAGCTAAAACTAGTCTTTGCTGCTGCCTCAAAGAGGAGCAGGGGAAGAGGAGGGAGACAGGAGAGGCTGGTTCAGGAGCACAGACACACTCACAACTATAAATGAACCAAAAATAAATAAATAAACAACTTTCCATCTTTTTTTGTATTGGATATGGTATGTTATTGGTTATAGCCATGTTCTTTTGTTTTTATGATTATTTAAATGTATACAGTTCTGTTTCATACTGTATGGGTGTTCCCATAAATCTAGTCTCTTTATCTTCCCCTCAAAATGCACCAGATTGATGCATTTCACTCCAAAATTAAAAAATAAATCTTACCGGGGGAGCAAATACCCCCGGACCCCCCTAGAGGATTTGAGGTCCACCCCCATTGAAAATCACATGGACAGGTTCCTAAATACATTTGAAAATTGTTTTAAATAGTAACCCCTGTCCATATGTTTATTATTGGGTAGCAGATGTAAACTATAGGGCTATCACTATGGGCAGCAACGCTGTAAATATTCACAAATAAATCCAGCAAAATGGCACAAAAAAAAAAAACTGGTAGTGGCCTGGCTGGGTGTATAATTCCCGGCCTGACTTATTGTCCTAGTCCCTGATCAGGACTGTTGTAAGGGTAGACAGAGCACATCCTAGGGCCATATGGTTGGATAATGACATTACCAATACAGAACAGTTACTTCTCTACTGGAAATATTTGGCCATACACACACGATAGCTCATCATCCATTAATCATTTGTCAGTGAAGTTCCATACTTGTATTACTACTTGTGTCCTATAGATGGCCCCCTACTGATACAGTACACCTGATCTTATACAGTAGATCCTTAACTCCTAACGAGTCCTGAGAGGCTACTAAAAACAAACCTGCATGAACTCTTCACATGCATTTTGTATGACACATGTCAGTTGAGCGTCTCCTTGGAAACTAAACACTGGGCTGACTTCATAATATGGCGATTAGAATTGGTTTCGACCCACATATCCCCTGCAACATTCATTAGCACTTGTGAATTATTGAACAACGCTATCCTTTTACCACATACAGCTCTGCGTTTGAGATAAATGTGCTTCCTTTACCCACAACCAGACCTTTCAGGCCCAAATGTAAGGACCATCTGAAGACCATCTGTGTGTGCGGTTGTGTGAGCGAGTCTCAATGCCATCTAAATATTAGACAGAGTGCCATTGAAATGCCCCCCTGTTGTACCCACTGAGGGATTAAAGGGCTAATTGTGTCACAGCCTTTGTGTGTTTACCAAGCAGAGATTAGTATGTAGCCTTGTTTAACAGATCACACCAAATCTCATTTACTGACAGTGGGCCTGATAACAGAGTGATGAAGACTCTGATACAAGAGGCAAAGTGCTTCGAGATTTGTCTTGGCAGATGAGAAGCGCTATATAAATTAAATGTATTACATTTATTAAAGCCACTGTCTCCGAGGATCACGAAAAGAAGACTACAAACAATCTTGTTTTATTCTCTCTTAATCTCCCTTTACACTCAAACATTTACAGAGACATGAGCTCGATCCCAGGCCGCTACAGGCCACACTGCTCTATTGACAGACAGCTCTTCTCACTGACCTTGAGTGAGAAGAGCTGTTTAAGATAACCAATGATTACCTCTCAATTTCTCTGTATCGGGTCACCGTTCTAAAGCTCAATCCCCTCTTTGGGGGGCTAAATAGAAGTTATAAAAAGCAATTTTTAAAAGCCATTTTCACAGGTGAGTTTTACAGGTTTGTTTATATGTTTAAATATGTTGATTCTAAGCTGCCAACTGAGGCAGATTTCAAAGAAGCAAAATTGAATGTAACAGGAAATAAATGAGTTAAAAAAACATGACTATAAAAACACAGTAAGAGTAGATTCGAGTGGGTGCAGGCAGCTGGTACACAGTGCCCATTCCAGAGAGGGTTTGCTTATTCGGTCAAACACGGTCAAATGTAGGTGACACTGCTGACGAGTAATCATACGCTGCTCATTGTCCCATCCCAGGCTTGCGTAACGGAGCTCTCTTACCTCTGGGCCGCACCAGAGCAGCTACACACAGCCAGTAACCTGAGCCTCTCTCTTGGACATATGACAGACCCAACAGCAGCGAGGGTCAACTACACGCTCTCTGCAAGCTTCTGGATTCCACTTGTGCCACAAACTGCTCACTGTCTGAGCTCAATTCTAACTCCTCTATCATCCCATGTTGGCACAGAGGGCATAGACATGACAGTGTGTGGTGTGGTGTGTGTGTGTGTGTGTGTGGTGTGTGTGTGTGTGTGTGTGTGTGTGTGTGTGTGTGTGTGTGTGTGTGTGTGTGTGTGTGTGTGTGTGTGTGTGTGTGTGTGTGTGTGTGTGTGTGTGTGTGTGTGTGTGTGTGGGTGTGTGTGTGTGTGTATTAATAGCGGCCATTAAAAAGGAAATATGCACCTTCTTCCAATAAATACAAATTCAACTTATGACATGCAGGTTGTGTTTATGTGTTAAGCACTTCACAACCATTATAAATAACTACAATATTTTACCTTAGTAAAAGTAAAACCCATATTAAAAAAAGTTAGTTAAGTAAAAGTACAAAAGTATAGGCCATTTTCACATGCCATTGCAGGTAGTGTAATTGATTGTAATTAATAATGGTACGGTTCAATTTAGTGCTTCACAGACATTCCATTGAGCCAACTTGTACAATGCCAGGCATGGCCCACCTAAATGGCCAGAGCCATAATTAATGTAATTAATTACACCTGTGTACACCCTGCAATGACGTGTCAAATGGCTGCTGTGAAAAGGGCATAAAGAACTTAAAGTATCAAAAGTAAAGCAGAATGGCTCCTTTCAAATAATTAAATTATTATAGAATAACATTATTATTGTGTCTGTTTTCAATATTAAGTAGCCTACGTGCAAGAGCATTTTAATGTTGGATATGTGGAGCTAATTTAGCATTTTAGCATAAGCATATCCTATGTTGTAAATAGTAACTAATAGCAGTAACAGTAAGCATCAAATACATAGTAGGGTACAAAAAACAAGATAAGTAAGATCAAATGTACCTAGCATTAGTTATACACCAGTGTAACATTGTATAAGAAAGCTTCAAGCTCTTAACTTAAAGCTAATTTAAGCTAATAATAGCCACCCAAGCCCTGGAAATATGTTTTTATGTCTTGCAAGCTAGCTAAAAAAGTGCATATTTGCACACGAAACAGACGCAAGTGTAATGTTTAAATTAGTTCTGCTCTCATTTGCTCTCCACACTCTTCTGATAAAAAATATCTGTTGTTAGCTTGCTAGCTCTACTGTCCAAGCTAGTTGCTAGCTTTGTGTGGCTGCTGCCTTTTTCCGTATGTAGCCTATATCACGTATGGAATACATTCAATTTAGTTACACCTGTGCTATTTCTACTATGACAAGTCAAAAATCACTCCCCTGTTTATGTTGTTGTTGATAACAACTAAATAAGTAATTTTGTTTGAATTCTCCTATCCAAAATGCATTATAGTTCGATATTATCAAATCAAATCAAGTTTTATTTAAATGATATAGCACATTTATAAACGATTTTTGGTCGAGCCAAAGTGCTGTACATATAATAAAAATAGCCTACAGTAGAGACACTTTACAGCTAATACAATAGCACAGATTGTTCAGAATATCAGTATGACAATACGACACCCTCTATCCTTAGACCCTCACATCGTACAAGGAAAATATTATATTTCACATTACATTTTTATGAGTAATTCATTTCTCCTTTTTTCCCCAGTTTTCCTTAGGTAGATGGTAGGTGCTATGTAAAAGTATGTGACTTCTTGACCTTTTTCTGTCACTTGTTCTTGCAGAATGATGTGTGTGCAAATAACCTAAAATACTTTTTTTCTTCTTGACTTTAATATATTAGTATTGGTACAACCCCTCAAAGCTATACCATTATGGCACACCACTCCCATATCGCCACTTTCCACTTGTGCTTTTTACAAACACACTGATCAATTGTGTAATACATAGTTCAATATCCACTCAGGTCAAACACTCTGTGTCCAGCTCCTGGGATTACCACTGTGTGTTTGTGCCTGCTGTAAGGAGATCAGAAGGCGTCTGCACTATTACTTACGCGTCTGGCTCTGGCTCCTTGTCATTTTGGGACTTTTGCTGGGGCTGAAGGACGTTATTTACCAGCTCAGTGATCCCACTAAAGGGAAACCACCTGTTCAAATAAGAAAAGTGTGACTGGAACATCGCAATAAGTTATCATGGGAGAAAACAATCTATCTTGAAACGTTTTTTGTTTAGGAAGAAGGTCAGATTCTAGGAAGTGAACAACAGCAGGGACATTCACTACAACCAGCGCAGAAAGAGGAGAAGGTCGGGACACGGGCAGAGCGGCGATTAGTGGAACATTGACAACCAGACACAGTGTCAGAAGTAGAGAGGAAGATAGAAGAAGAAAGAAAGATGAAATACTTTGTGTCGAGGGAAGGAGAGAAGAAGCAGGAAAGCTCTACAGCCAATGGAAATGAGAGCTGCATCAAACGCTCAGCTAAGGGTAACAGGAGTCATTTATTCCAGCATGGTGTGCAGTAAGGGTCAGGTTATCAAACTAGATAAGCCTACAGGTGGATTTAGTAAAAAATGCAACTATAGTTGGTGCATCTAGTCTACATTTGTGATTGGATTATAAGGCTGCACCAGCCAATCAGAGTGCAGATGATGAGAAAGGGCAGCCAGTTAAAAACCAGAGACAAGGGGAAAGGATTTTGGGGGCCTGGCTATGATAAAGCTGGTAGAAAGGAAAAGCCGTCGACTCGTCACTGATGTCATGGAAGTCGGCTGTTTGGCGTCCAGCACATAATTCAACAATCTATTCAATGCTACTTATATAAAGCTTAAAAAAATGCCATTAAGCAATTATTGTGCTACCACAGCTGCTTTCCATGACATTAGTGACATTCATTTCGTTTTCCTCCCAGACAAAGAGGAGAAAGCCACATGAAGCACACAGCACCAACTGACAGGAAGAAGTTTCAAAGCCTAGCACTCTGGGTAATGCAGTTCACTTACTGTGCCGGCTGAGGCTTTGGTTCTTCTTTGATCCTAAAACATAAAAAATCAAAAAAAAGATGTGCACAGCTCAGTGCTTACAGAACACAAATAGATGATGAAAACAATGGGACACAAAACACTGAGACTAAAAATGTGTATGACATAAATAATAATAGGAATAACATTCAGGATATTATAGATGATGCTTTGAGGAAATAATGAAGAAGAAAAAAAACATGAACAAAACTGAACATTCAGAAAAGAAGGAACAAAGTAAGAAAGGGTTGTGGACCAACTAAAAATGGAAAATCATTGCTTCAAGTGAGTAACACCCTCTCTCATATGACAAACGTTACTTGTATTGCACTTTCTAACAAGAGGATAAATCCAATTGCTATTCCACAATGCTACTGTTTATTTTCAGCATGAAGAGTTTTTTCGAGGAGAAATGTAAGATTCATTGTGGCCCCCATCACCATAAGCCCACCAGTTCTCAAAAATATATAGCCCAAGCAATCTATTGGCACTAACTATGTAAATGTTGCACTAATCCTCTTATGAGAAATATCTTATGAGACATAATAAGACTTAGTGATGGTCATCGTATTCTTCTATCGCATCAGATAATGTTCTAAGCCTTTATGTACTTAGCTGTCAAATTTCAATGCCTCACCAAAACACAATGTGTATTACAGATTTATGACATGCAACAAATAACATATATTGCTGAGCTGGATTTCAAATAAATCTCCAAGACGAGCACACACATCAAACCAAACACATGATCCCATCCATAATTTCACTTGTTGAAGATAATAAACACACTGAATCATAACCAGAAAGCCAGCCAATGGCAAACCACTATTTATAACAACAACATCTATGAGTTGACTTTCATTCTAATCACCATATTGGCTCTGACACAAAGCTAGAGTGTTGTTACAGCCCCATGTGCAGCGTCACTAAACAGTCCTTTAGTTATCTTAAAAAAGTTAAATAGGTGCAGCTCGGATAACCAAGAGAGCACAACCAGCACTTAAACACATGTCACTCCCAAACAAACACACATACATGCACCACAACAACCACCATTCTCGTTGATAACCTGTCAGTTGTCCATCGCATATCAACCTCAGACCTTCAACCTGACTTCAGTACACTTGTTTAAGCCAAACACAGAAGAAAAAAGAACTGGGATATATAGAGAGGTAAATAGACTACAAACAAAACAGAAAAAGCACCAATTGTGCACAATCCACTTTTCCATGTCTTTGAAACATAAATATGTGGCCCCTCTGTGTGAAGGGATACGGAACATTTCAAGAAAAAAGATTCCCTCTCTTGTTGTCCTGATCCATATAAAAACCTGTCTGAAAATGAGCTAATCAGATTTTGGCCACTTTGTGATGTCACAATGTTTTTTTGGGTTGTGCAACCATTAGCCAATAACCAAGCAAGGTAACACCCGCCCACCTTATCACCGGAATCTCCTCCTAGTACAATTTTGTTTTTTTAAACCAATCATCTTTCAGAGGGGCGTGGTCAGCAGCAGCTCATTAGCATTTAAAGCTACAGACACCAAATCAGCACTTTTGGAACAGGATTGAATTATATGAGATTATGGCATGCTGCAATGCTCTCTGACAAACACATCACAGCCATGTTTTGTATATATCTGAGACCTATAATATATTGTTGAAAAAGAGTATAATAGGAGACCTTTAATGCTGGTCTTCAAAATACTGTAAAACATCCTCAAATTCAAGAATTCAGAATTTTGTTAAAATAGTGATACAATGTTAGCTGTTTTACCAATATCATATTCTTTAACTAGTAGCAGCTTTTCAAAATCATTAAATACAGTGCTTTATATAAATAAATAGAATTAATATTGAGCAGAATTGAGTTCAGACTAATAGTACGGCCCTTCACCGCAGTTCCACTTTCTCATTAAGCCCATTGAGGAAATTATTTGTCCCCCCTGGTCTAGCATCTATTATGTTCTAACTGAAGCTGCCAGAGAAAAGATTAAACAGAAAAGCACGTCAGATCTTCACACACCTCCACCCGCTTATGTTAAGTGCATCTTCAGCTGAATATAGCTGCGTGAAATGGAATGTGTTAATTGGATTTTGTATCTTTCTGACCTAGGCATGGCAACATTTACTACTCCCATTCTAAGATTTTGTTTGTCAACTCATGCTAGTGCCAGTACTCATTAATAATACCACCATAACAATTTCCCGGGGTTCAATGATTTCTGTATACTTCCAATTTTGTCCAGTGAACAGCAAAACCCAAAGATATTCCAACTACAAAAAGAAGGGCACTAGCAGACTAGGCCAAAACCGTTCACATAAATTCAAAAAGAATGCATGTATCTGCTCCATGGTACTACCTGTGATAAGAACCATGTGGGGCTAAAACTCTCCACTGAAAACACTTCACAAACGGTTACCACATCCTACTATCTTTACAAAATCGTTACCACAATGAATAAAAAAGTCTTCTGAAACAACAATTAATTAAGAAAAAAAAGAGTGTGCACACTTCATTAACTCCTAAAGCCTCAAAGAATTGCCATGCAGAGGATCAGAAAACAGACTACTTTATCTAAAGGAAGAGCACACCGCAGTGAAATCTGTCTGTCTGATCTGTGTCAGAGTGGTGCGAGAACACACGAGAGAAGATAGTCCTGTGTACCCATCAGTCTCGCTGCTCTGTTTTCCGATGAGCCAGTCCATATTTATCCTCTCGCTGTGTTCTCTCGATGACCTGCAGCGCCGTTCTTTATTGATCCCATCAGCCCCGTCTCTGTGGTCGCATTACAAGCCTCATATTTATCTGATGGAGCCTGCTGCCTGCCTGGACGGCTGCCGGACAAAGTGAATGTGTGTGTGTGAGTATCCGCCTGTGTGTGTGTGTGTCCATATCCATGTACTCATATGTGTGCATATGTGAGTGTGAGTGCACGGTGCATTATTGACACGGGGATGGTAAAATGAGTTAGTGTAAAATGTCAGGAGTGACGTATTCAGTATCACGGCCTGCAGGGCACATACAGTCTCTGCTTTCTATCTCTTTAACCTGCTTCACCTCAACACACACCATAGAACACAATAGTACAGAATAAGGGAAATGTTTGTGCAGAGAATCTCCACATCTCAGTGTATGATGCTCTCTTTTCTCAGGCTCAGAGAGGCTGTTTTAGGTCTTGGTTAGTCACACGCTGCTGTTATTTTTAGCCTTTGTTGTAATTGTGTTCTGTATTTGGGTTTCCACCTGCCCTGCTTCGCTGGTGTTGCATGGAGAAGCATCCAGTTCTGAAATGACCGAGTCTACACTGCTCTCTAGTGGACATAATGTGCAGCATGAACTTCTAAGAACTAGATTCCTGGAGTTCTGTCAGGGGGTGTGTATTGGTGTGTATTCACAATCAATTGCTGTGCTCCCGTATGTCTTTTGAAAATGTGTAAGTAGAAGAAATATAGGGGAAACTGAGCTGTTACTTCTAAGTGTTAGGAGTTAGAAATGAATTGTTATGCTGGGTGACATTCTAGTCATCTACAAATAACATTCACAGCAGCACTAAAGTCAAAAGAAAGTAGATTGTTGTTGCTGTTCAAGTCACTTTTCAGGCTAAAACACAAACATCCAGCTTATCATGTCTGGTTTTTCCCCCTCTTTGATTTTAAACCACATATCTTTGAATTCAAGCCATGCTTAACTTAGACCCTCTTTTAGCAAAAAAACAGCAATCTGTCAAATGATGCTTTCTGAAATGTTTAAATGATTTTGTCGACATTTTAATCCATTTCAAAATCAGCACATTATTCATAATGGATAATAACCGGTAGCAGACATAAGAAAGGAATTATTGATGTATTGTCATATCATTCAGTTACTTGATTTCATGTCATATTAGGCATTTTTTCACAGTAACATTGTCAATATATGGATAAAAAAAAAAATACATAGAAATAACACTATAGACAAGCACAAACACCATCAACCGTCAAATGAGAGGAAAAACACATCCTGGACTGTATGCTCAAAACACCACATCTGCACTCCTTAGCACCAAAGAGCTCTGCCAAAGCAAAAAAACAACTTGAAGCAAACCACCATGCATATGTCAAAACACATGGTCTCCCAGTAAATACAAACACAACTCTCTTGTTGACGATATCATTCCAATCAGATGGGATTGAGATCATTAGGAGAATTGGAGTGATGCATCTCCTTCTGCACAGACAGCAGGACGATTACACAGCAGCCTGTCAAGAGGACCTGAACATTTTAGTAAGATCCCAGAGATGTAATCCATCTGAGCCCCCTGAAGACATCTCTGCTAATAGGCAGAGCAGACACACGAGAGGACGCTTTGAAAAACCTCTCTATGTCTCTCTTTTACCCATCCCAATGCCACATTTCTGTTAGGACTAACACATCGATGTGACGGCTGTACAACAAGTCCTGAATCATTACATTCCCACACACCCAGAACAAGGTTGGCAACATGTCACATGATCCACAGCAGGTCCAGCAGAGGCTAATGTGCATCTAATAGCTTCTGATGGGCAGCACAAACACAAGCCAACCTCCTTCACAGAGCTCACAGGCCGAGCAGAGGCACTGAGCACACATTCATTCATACTGAGTCAACACATTCGAGACCAAGTGTAAAAGGAGCTGACCAACTACAGAAGGTGAAATTAAATGTTGTTCAGGATCTAAAGAAGCTTTTTATAAAACAGAACACATTTAACTAGTTTGTTTTAGTCTCACTGCTCCAATCAATGCCTTTATGGCAACAAGGAACAATTTTTTCACGGTAGTGTTGGAAAAATCTCACTGTAGGCTACAGACAGACACAGTAACCCATAGAGTCGCTAAGAGACAGAGATTTCCCACAGCAGTTGGTGGAGAGCAAAACACATCTAGCTTTTGGCTTATTATGACTTATTAAGGTGATATCAAGTCAATGGTGTCATAACAGTTAGTTACGCTGCCTCCATGTGGCCAAAAATGCTTTTTTTAAATCAAGTTAT